ATCAGAATATAGAACTAAAGAAATTTTGCTTGAACACCTAATATCTTAAACTCATAACTCCTTTTAAGGAACAAAAATTGAGGTTCTTTAAAATCATTATGATGCAAAACACAACTTGGGTGTTTTAAAAAAAAAAAAGCTAGGTACTACAATGGACAAATAAAAATCTTTCCCCTAAAATTAGAATAGACAAATCTGAATTGCTTAAGAAAGCATACACAAAATTGAAAAGAACTTCTTTAGGAGACTTTATACAGTTAAACTGTTTGCAAACCACAGTTTCATCTACGTCAATATGCAACATTTTAAAACCACACAAAAGGAAAGGAAATTTTTAGTACGGCCAGCAGCCCCTCAATAGAGCTGCTACTGCTGCAGCCAGACGAACTGTTCACGCTGCTGTGAAGACTGGAGAGAGGCCCCTGAGGCTCTGAGAATACACCCCCAGGTATGTCTTTTTAAATACTTAATATATTCAACTGTCTTTCCTTGGAAGGGAAATCTATGATTTTTAGTGTTTAAACCATGTAATTGGAAATGTCAACAGGTAGTAAGGTTGCTGGGTAAGAGGACACCAGTTATTAAACTCTAAATAGATTCTCACAGTAAACTACACTAAAATTTTCTTCTACATGAAGAGCCCATCCACTCTCAAAAAGACAGCTTAATTCATAAAGACTGAATCCTTATTTATACGTGAGCAGAACTACTCAGTAACTCAATTTTATAACTGGATGAATAAAGGCCATGTTAGTCTTCACAACAGGCACAAAGGTTCTTAAAATGACTTCCTTCTACACACATTATAATAGGTAATTTCAAAAAAATTCCATAGTGACTTCCATAAAAAAATCTAATGAGTTTATTTTCTAAGCAGTGGGCACTTGATCCAAACAGAGGAGACACTTGAAATCATTTCTTGATTTTGCTGGAGTACCATTGGATACCTCAGATTTGCAGAGGCTAATAAGTAGTTGACAAAATATTTATCAAGCATTTAGTTTTCAAATTCATGAGTCAGAACACAGATGTTATTATGGTATAATTTTCCCTCAAATTGACATAACCAAAACTTTTAAACAAGAGATTTGGTTTCTGTTGCAACCTTGACTGAGGTTTAGGAAGGCGCTGTGAGGCACTACATGATTCTCAAGCATTATCAAATATACAGATACACTGCAATTACTTTGAAATAGATTACCCATGGTCAGTTCCAGTTACAGAGATTATTAATTGATAAAAAAAAATCATTCTCTAATCCTTGTTTACCATACATTCTTCTATAAAATGAGGCTTTATTGTATAATTGTATGAGCAATGGGGGCACTTGAAAAAAGCACATTATTGTGTTACTATTACGTAACATTTGAAACACAAGTGCCTAAACCAAAATCCTAGTGTCTCACAAAGGAACACTGAGCAAAGGTGGGAGACAAGACCGACCTGCACCAACATTAGCTTCTGACTGGAGAAGAAAAGGACATTCAGGATGCCACAGGACACAGAATGGTCACTGCGAACACTCAGTCATCAGGGTGTCAGTGAAGCCTGGGCTGGACTTCAGACGTGAAGAGCTTCCTCCCGGCACTGAGGACAGGCAGCACTCGGGCACAGGAAGGACAAGAGCAGAAATCTAGACAACGATGAACAAGGTCCGATCCCAGACTGTTCCAACAAGCTGTGAAGCCTTGAGCAACCCAAGTGCCAGACCTCACTTTCCTCAACTGATCTGGGGATTGGACGAGATGCTATCAATAAAGGTCCCTCCCTCCTCAAAGTCCTATGAACCCAAATTTTATCACAACCAAAAGTGCAAAGGAAGGAAGAAACAGTTCACGGAACAGCAAAGGCCCCAGTAATCTAAAGTAGAGAAGACGGATTGAGACAGTGGGGATGGTATGGGGGACTAGGTCATGGGAGCTTTGAAAGTAAAGGAGGTTAGGCTTAAATGACAGAACCTAGGTTTGGTTTTTAAATATATATATATTATAAAATGAAACATCAAAATACATGATGCCTGCTCTTTTACTAATACAGTACTTTGGAAAAAAAATTAATCATGTAAGTTGCTCAGCATATAGTTCCTGCTATATAGCAAGCACTTAGTAATGTTTGGCTGCTATAACAATTATCATCATCACCACAATCATTACTACTATAATTATTGAGGCAGACTTTTGGAGTGTTTGTTTGTTTTTTAAATCCTCACCCAAGGATATGTTTATTGATTTTAGAGAGGAAGAGAGAGACGTAGGGGGAGGG